ATGAAATTAACAATTTAGACAATAACAGCATGACAGTACCCATGTTTGCTCTTTCTTGTCAGACAAAACCTGTGCAGAGGAACTCCCTGCTTCCTCCCTAATTACTGCTTTTATTTTTCAAAGGGATGGAAAGTGGACTAGAAATAGATCTTTTAATCTGCATCTCCATTTAAAAAAAACCCACTTTTTTTTGCAATAGAAAAGCAATCAGTCATAAATATGTTGATGATTCTGCCTGCCAGGCACTCATATGATCACCTAAAACCAAAACTGATGTGGAAAAGCAGCTGATTGCCAGCACATTCCGAGCAACCTGATCTAGTTGAAGATGCCCCTGCTTACTGCAGAGGGTTGGACTAGATGAGCTTTGAAGGTCCCTTCCAACCCAAGCTATTCTATGGTTCTATGATGTGTGGAGGTGCACATCAGCCAGAAACAAAGATGAAATGTGTTTCTAACCTGAAGTTTGCAGTCTCTAAACCCCTCCTCAGCTGCTTTTCTTCTTAAGGTGTGAGCTTAAAATAAGACAAAATGATCAATCACTGCAGTATTACACATCAGTATGTCTGATTTTACTGGTGCCTAGTGTCTGAACTGTTTAGGTTATGGGATGTATGAAAAAAGAATAATACTGTATCAACTCTCTAAAATCACATGCAGATACACTATTGCTTTGCTTTCTCACCATGCATTTCTTCAGATGCCTCTCAGATAAGCTCCTTTCCCTGCTATGGATTACTGCTCAGTGAAGAGAAGCTATCTGAAGAGGTCTCAGTGTTTCTTTTTTTCCTGTCCAAGATTTGCATTTTATATTTGTCTCCTAAGTATGTTATTATTAGCTTTGTTTTCCAAACATTAATTTGTTCATTAGCTGAGTAAATTTCAACTTTTTCTAGGTCCTTTTATGTTACTGTTTGGATTTACACTTATTTTTAGGAAGGGGAAAAGTATATCTCAGCAAAATCCAGTAGTGTTTTCTGTGCCTTTGACTCTGGAATTTGAAAGATGTACCAATTTTTCGTTTTTGTGAGTTCTATAATACTTAGGCTGCTGGTCAAGGGAAATGCTTAAGAACTGCATATACTGAAGTATAAAAATCTACTGTAATGATGAAGAGAAAGATGCCAGGACATCATTAAACACCAACCAATAGACTCCAGGCAGTTCAGTTTTAAATGACAAAGTTTGAGAAAGCAAGTGTAGAAGAGAGGATCCTTCACTCCACTAAAACAACCTCAAAATACTGCAAAAGGGGAGCTGAGGCAATAGTAGAGGGTCAGACTGAACTGCACATCAATACAAGATCTCAGGAAACAAGAGCTGATACAGAAACACACTCAAACCAAGTGCAGACTAAAATCCTGCAGATGACTTAGATACTGGCAAACCCATTCATATTCATATGAGTATTACCCCTGTAAAAGCACCAAGTACACCAAGATGTTGTGTTGAAGTTCTGGTCATGCAAGGTAAAGCTTCCCAGAGGCACTCTTTAATTGTTCTAATTTTCCCTGCCAAACATCTTCAGAGTTTTAGATGTTCAGGCCAGGTCTTGTCACTTCACTGTTTCATCACTTTCTGGATTACCTACTCCCAGCATAATTGCTCTCAAACATATTTGCTACCCGTATGTTCTCCCTTTCACATGCACACTTCCTTCCCTAAAAGTCTTACTGAATCCTTAAAAAGTAGAGAAAAAAAAAATTATGGAATGTGAACTCCTCAGCCCCATAAGGTAAATGGTGTCTAGAGTGTTTTTAATTTCAAGGGCAGGCACAGGAAATCTTCCCGGCACTTTAGGAAGACAGTCATCTCTTCTTCCACTTAATTTCTGCCCTTTTTAAGGAAAACCCCAAACAAAACACAGTAAACCCCAGCAATTATGCAAGCTTTACATTCCATATGCTGCTCCCTATGTAGATCATAGAATGGTTTAGGTTGGAAGGGACCTTAAATATCACCTAGTTCCAACCTCCTGCCATGGGCAGGGACACCTTCCATCAGAGCAGGTTGCTTCAAGCCCCATCCATCCTGGCCATGAACACTGCCACAGATGGAGCAGCCACAGCTTCTCTGGGCAACCTGAGCCAACGCCTCACCACCCTTACAGGGAAGAATTTATTCCCCATATCTAATCTCTATCTCCCCTCTTTCAATTCAAACCATTCCTCCTTGTCCTGTCACTACATGCCCTTGTACAAAGTCCCTCTCCAGATTTCCCGTAGGCCCCCTTTAGGTATTGGAAGACTGTTACAAGGTCTCCCCTCCCTGTATACGAAAAACATGGAGCTAGGCAAGCAAAAGCATTTCTGGTAAAGTTATTATTAAAGGGAAGGCAACTCCTAGAGCAAGTTTATGAAATTATTAAAATGAGTACTACGTGCAGTGAATAGGCTGATTTCCATAGTAGGAACACACCAAATCATGCAAGCATGGGCTGACTCATCACAAATAGGTGGGTTTGACTCTTAGCTCTGACACTGACTTATTGCATGGCTTTAGGCAAATACCTAAACATTTGTTTTTACTTCTCCATTTGTATGATCTGGATAATACTTACATATCCAAAGAGGATATTATATTGAATATATTGAAGATACTATAAAGATTTTAAATGCTGTAACATAGCAAAACCTCATTAACACCACCAGTCTAATATAAACACTGGAATGATTTAAATGATGTTGTACATGTTCCTGGATCTGGGCAAATTCACTGAATGAAGAGCAACATCTTCAAAGAGCCAGAGGAAAGGGAAGGTACAACCCATTGTGAAGCTGGAGTACTTTGCAAGGGTGGGTGAATTTGTAAGGGAGGAACAACAAATTTGCTTAATAGGCAAGAGTTCACCCTTCATTGATTATTGAAGTGGTTGGGCAGAGCTGAAAAGCGACATGTGCTCAGGGGTAGGTGAAGAAAACAAAATCTTTAGGCCTCAGTTACCCACCTGTATCGAAGCTAGAGAGGACTTTGCCAAGGCAAGTCCTGAGGGTTTGTATTTCCTATATAACGTGAAAACACAAAAGTCGAATAAGGTTCCCTTCATTCAGACCTTCCTTTCTTGTCAGGAACGGGAGATGACCTTCTGCAGAACATCATGATGTGCTCTGGGGGCTCCCCTGGACTGGATCACACTAAAAGGATGATGCTTATCCTGCTGAACTTTCCAGGAGGGGAGAAGTAGTCCTGGGAAAACCCTCTGAAGACAGGGGCTGGGTAGGGAGCCCATTGTGCATTGGCTACATCAAGCTCATCTGCAGCAAAGACAGAAGTGAGAGGCTCCAGACCTTTGCTGAAGACTCAGGGCCTGCCAGCATTAGCACTTCTGAGGTCCTGTTCCTTCTTTTCCTTTTTTTTGGCCTTTCCTAAAGTATTTTTCCACACTGAGATCCTTAATGAAAAAAAACACTTAAAAGAAGGGTGAGGGAAAGCCTGGCAGCATAGTGTTATAATAGGATGTGAAATCAAGTTAACTGCTCTAGAAGTAGGAGAGAGAGGCTGAAAGTGAATGAGAAAGAGGAGGACATGTTCTTGGAGTGAGGGAGATGCAGGCAGCAGATGGAAAAGAGGGACTTTCTTGAGCAGTGGTTAGTGGCAAGGAGCTGGTGAGAGAAGAGCTGTCAGGTTTCAAGTATTAAGAGATGAGGATGGGAACAATTAGAACACAGATCTGTTTGGGTTTTGGTGTTTTTTGTTTGTTGGTTTTTTTTTTTTTTTTTTGTTTCATTACATATATTTCTTTTGGCATTATAGTAAACCTGAGAAAACAAGTCAAGTCGTCTGGCTTTGAGTGGGCTCTGATCTGGACAGGACCTCCTTCTGGGGATAAACCTCAGTCCTTTTTACCAGTTTGACAGGAAAGGACTAATAGCCTGCCCTGTCTCTAGGCCAGCTCTACCATCATCTCATCTGGATGTCCAGTCTTGGTTGGAAAACACTGCCCTGCCCTGCAGCTTGTATTGCCAAGGTTAGTCCCACAAGAATGAGTTCTGACTGTCATCTCCGAGACTGGCCAGCAATGCAAACCAAAGAGTGGTAGATGGGGAAATCTGGGAGTTTTGCCTCCAAATAGCATGTCTACCCCTAAACAAAGCACTCTTTCAGGCCTATTCAAACTGTATAGTATGTATGAATAAGCTAGGCTGGACTTGCCACAGAGACATCAAAGTAATTTTTAAGTTGCTAGCACAGACTACCCAACAGCTCCCTTGTAGATATTGCTGCACTGGGCAACTTATGTACTTCACACACTACATCCATTTATCTATCTTGTTGCCACTTATGGTGACCCCAAAGATGGGCACTGAATGTAGAGCACAGAGACACTAACACACTGCTGGCTACAATACTGTTTTCCATACAGAAATCAGTTTACAAGCTGAAAAGACTTTTGTTAAGTTCTTCATTGGCACACATCATTTGAGAGGCACAAACTCAAATTCACATTAAACTAAAAAAGCTAATACATTTTTACTACATCTACAGACCACAGGACACTTTGCTTTCAAGAAAAGTTGAATAAAACACCGAGCTTTCTTAAGGAGACTTCTCCCCTTGTTTTCAGAGAGTCCTTAATGTGACATCTGTCCCTGCAGTCACCTCTTTTAAAACTAACAAATGCATGACATATAATACAAGATTTATAAATTAAAGAAACCCACCCCTTTTAAGTAATATTCTTTAAATCTCAGTTTCTGACAGTCCTCCTATTTGCTCAGTAACTGTAATAGGCGTATTTTTCAGAAAATAGTGAATAAAAACTGACAAGCTATCGGGGGAATCTGAATGCATAATTGATAAGGGCATAAATTAATATGATTAGGCCTTTATTGGGTGCCACTGCTGCCAAACCTACAAAAGGGGCATGGAATAAAACATGGCTATGTTCTCAGGGCTGATAGACATCAATATGTAATGCATATTATCTCAAACCTTCTCATGTAGTCTGCTTATGACAGCACTCAACCTAATTGAAATTTTTATCTTTCTGTTGCATACAGACAGTTTTGACTAGCTGCTTCCAGGGAAAAGAGAGAAATCCAAATGACCCAAATGAAGGTTTCTCTATAGAGGTATATACTCTTCTTGCAAATCACTTTAAAATGGCTTTTTGCTTTCCAGTTTTATAAAGCCATCTTCAGAAAGCTGCATTAAAGACAACCCAGGACTTGGTTTGCCTCTATCCCTTTTAACTAAGCTTAATGGTGCATTTCCCTAGAAGAAAAAAAAAAAAATCAAAAGATTTCTTCTTAAAAATCAATATATTGTATACTCACTTCAGCTGAGGCCTTATTTTACTACAGTTCTTCATGCTGCACATATACAGCTTAAAAAGACCTATGAAGAATAAACTAAAACCAGTGATTTCTTGAACTGAGGACGTTCCCAATCCCTTAAAACATGTTGGTCAGGTGGTAGAGTTTCATTTAGATAATTCTAAATTCTTTTCCAAGTTTTTCTTTCTTCTTCAGTTCTCTGTAACTATGAATTCACAAACTGAAATGAAAAGCAATGGCAAACCCATGGTAGCTCTCAGTTCTGAAATGTTTCAAACATTTTCTATATATTCAAGTGTAATCTATATTTACTTGTCATGAAGGGTTTCTGCTTTGATGAGTCAAAGTTGACTAAAAAGATTCAGATTTAATATTTCACTTTGTTGAAAAGTTCTGGACTGCATGAGTGTTCCTGAGAACGCATGCTACCATTGCTAACTGTTTTTACTACAGTAGTGCTGAATGTTGTACAAATAAGATAAAGAGTCAGTTTCTCCACTGATGTTTACAGTCCAGAATGGGATTATCCCTGGAGTAAGACACATTTCACCTGTAATAACCAAAATAAACCAGAGAGGACAGAAATGGGTCCAACACCTCATTTGGCTTTACTGAAACTCACTTTCTAAGATAAAGGAATATTATCTGCTATTTTCATACCATGCCATGAAGATAAAGGCACTATAGCTAAAAAATTATTTTCTTCTGTTAATAGACAATATTTTACTCTTCTAACTCATCACTCCATTATCATAAAAGTGGGGCATCCATAAATGTAGAGGCCACACATTTTGTAGCTTGAAGAATGACACACTAAATTCTTAAAGATCCATGTTGCTGCACATGTTATTTCAAGTAATTCATTTATTTCAGAGGTTATAAAGCACTCCCACACTATTTTGGTAAGCTGGGAAGAATGACCAAGGATTTTTCAATGGAGCAACTTCATGTGCTTACTCATGAGAGAACCAAAACAGGTCATGGCATAGTTTTGGTGTCTCTCTGTGGGCCAGGCTTTCTTGCTGTCCTACAGACTTTAGTATAACCCAAACTCTCTACTTGGCCAAACCAGAACTGAGCTGTGTGTCATGAAGGATATAGTAGTTAACCTAGCTTGTAAAGACAGAAATAATCTAGAGATACTTCCTGTGTGACACACCTTTTAAACTCTTCACTAGGGGCTGAACACTGCAAGACTAAGATGCTTCATAATACACATCAAGGCTGAAAGCAGTGAATGAACATAGGCCCAAGAACGATTAAATATGAGGAAGAAAAAAAGAGAAACTAGCACTGTGGAACAGATGTGGAAGTGCAGGACTGCACAGGAACTAAAAGCAGTATCTGCTGTGCTACTATAATAAATCACAGGTATCAACTAGCTCACAGAACCCATGGTATGGTAGGGATGGGTTACTATCCCTGTGTGCAGAAGGAAGAGCTAAGACCCAGGAAACAAGAGATACATTTCCAGAGAGGTGAGTGGCACCTGAAGCTTCCAAATCTATTTGTTTTGAGGTCTGTTCCTCTGCCACCAGATATTTTGCCTAAGCTCAAAAGAGCTTTTAAACAAAAGACTGTAGAAGTTCCAGTCCTAAACCTCTACCAATCCACCTTGCAGGGTATCAGCAGAAATCTTACTGCAACCCATTGAAATCCCAATTCTGCTAAGTAGCTATGGCTCTTCAAGAGGCTTGAACTTGCCTGAAGCTAGCAATGTGAAGCTCATATGAGGCGTTAATATTCCCTCCCCTCACTGCAAAGCCATTTGAGGAATTTCAGCGTTGACATTTTCAAATTACCAAATTGAAACCCTTTACATGTTAATAAAATGCATAGTGCCAACCATGTTTTAACAAAGAACATTTATCACGTCTGAAAAGTTGCTGAGTAAATCCTTTTGACTTTGCACTATCCCATTCATCCTTGTTTCAAATAATGCAATTCTAACGCTGTATTGATATTTTTTAAGATTTTTCACCTTCTTTTCCATTTAAAAACTGGTTTCTAAATACATTTGAAGCAACTAAGTTTTATATTTGTCTCCTTACAGAAGTATGCAGAAGATGTGCTCAGCTATATTGATCTTTGAGGAAATGTGGATGAGGTAGATAATGTGAAACCTTTTTGTCATCACTAACAGTTATATAGGTTCTGGAAACTTTCTGTGTTTGGCTGACTAGATAAGTGGATGCTCTCACATTTATTTGATTGGAAAACTATGGGGAGTAAACTGTGTCTCCCCAGTTTCTGTATGGAATTGATCTTCTGTGTATTAATGCTTTTCTATTACAGCAAAGAAATTGGTGATTATGAGAGTAGAAGCACCCCTTTCTTTCTGCTGGAGTCATCAGCCTTAAAGAAAAGGGAAGGGACATAAACAAAAGAGGGCAAAATGAAAAGGCACAAGGCAAAGTGCTGAGCCTTCACCTCTCATCTTCAGAGACAGAAGGAGAAAGAAACTATTGCTCTTGGCTTTATTATCTCCTTGCATCTGTCTCACATCTGTGACAGACCTACCCTTGCTTGCCCTGGTCTGGGATAGCTGCAGGTGGCTGGTATTTGCTGAGTTAATTCTGGATCCAGACTCTATTTTCTTTGGTGATAAACAGATTTTTCAGCCCTCTTGCATCACTTACTCCTTTTCCATATACCTTCTTGTCTGAACTGATTCAACCATCTGCTCTGTGGAAACAACAAATAATCAAAGTAAAAGATTTGGGGTTTAAAAGTGTTTTTCTTTACATGGTTTACAGTGTGACCACAAAAAATAGTTGGATAAGCTTAAGTGAGGCAGAAGTACTTTTTGGCAATGAGAGAAGCAGTTGTGAACAGGGTTCATTTAAACTGCCATTGCTGTTATAATGCAGATGATACATTATACAGGGTTAGGTGCTGGTACCCAGAGTGCATAGATGAGCAGCAGAAACACTCTAATGCTGCTTTCTTAATCTGGTGGCTTTCAGGACCAGGACTAACCAGGATCATATAGTAGAGAGTTTGCAAAAGCAACGTCATGCACACATCTTCCACATTCCTAGACAGGCAGATTTTACAGCTGGGACCCACCATTACTGAGCTCAGCTTTCCCACACAACTCTTGTGGATGTACTGACATAGACCTGACATGCTGGCTCTTGGTTTGATGCCTTTTCAGCCAGAATCTCCCTTCCACTTCTGCAACCCAACATGCATTTTTTTATGGCTCCTCTTGTTTTTCTGAGCCTTATGAGCCAACACGAGATACTTTATCATGAGGTTTCTTTGTACTTTTTTTACAACAACAATAAAGTTTGTTTTTACGTCAGCCTGCCCTGTTTATTAAAATCAAATCCATTGGGTTCACATCCATATGGTCAATCTCTTTTTGGTTCCTGACCCACGAAATTCCTGATAATGATGGTGACTGGCATAAAGCTTGCCTAATCACAATAAATCCTGTCCAGACTAAGGGCTCTGTCCTGCCCTTGGTGACCCTCTTACGCATTGCAGCTTTTCATGTAAGTTTAGACTAGTACTTTTTTAATCCAGTCTTATTCAAAACTAAGCAAATCCCTGCCATGATTGTGAAAATTGGCAGACAGAACCAAGCCAGAATCTCAGGCAAAATTAAAAGTGAACAACTTGTGTGAATAGGCAATGCGATGCATGGTGGGCAAGATAAACTGCTTAGAAAGCCTGGAATGGAGCCATTTGCTTTAGTTAGCCATACCAAGTGATGTTATCCAAGAACCTGGCTTGCTTTTTGAAAAGAAATGTTTTGGATGTGCTGGAGAAATCAGGTGCATAAATTACCACTGCTCCTATGACACTTAAACTTGAATGACCAGTATTCGTTCAGTCAACTACAATAGGTCTCACTGTCCTTGGCAGGATTACAGGGGTAATATTTTTTAACATTGATGAGCAGCTCTTGAACAGTTTCTCCAATGTATTAAGTCTGAATGGGCTTTTCTTCAGTATCAGGTGTGCACATCTCCTCACACTCGTTTTTCTCCACCAGACATATTTATTCTGATGGATAAAACTTCCCTTCCTATAAATGTTTGCCTTCTCCATTCCTTTTATGGGAACACCACAAACTGATGGAGTGATCTTGTTTCATATGCCTAGCCTGTCTTATTCATTTATATAATCACAGATGATATTCACTATTGCTAGAGAATATTGTTATGGCTTCTTCATTGCTTGCAAAGGAACTTGTGAGCAAAGATAAATACAGGTTATGATAGATACTCTGCTAAAGACTTTATCCTGTAGTTTCTTACTGGCAAAAAAAATCCCAAGGGATTTTATAGTACTCAAAAATATGTAAGCTTAGCTAAAAAAAAAAATGCAGTAAAATATTGTTGACTTATTCTGCCTTTATAAAAAGTTTTGGGGGCCTTGAAATATCTATCCTCTGCTGTCAGCTGGACACTAAGGACTTCAAACCACTAAAACAAACAAGAATGTAACTGTCTTCTACGTAAGAATAATTGATAGAACAACATGACTGGTACACAGACCATATTATCTCAACCTCTGTATCTTAGGGTCTTCATTTTCTGAATGAGTACTGCTACTAGTTAGGCTAAAAGAACAAGCTTGAAGAACAGTGGTTTAATCCTTTCATTAATTATTAATTAGTTACCAAAGCAGAGGGTGCTTTTGGTTTTGTGTGTTTTCTCCCCCTCCAGCATTTTCTTAAGTGTTTACTAATTTATTGGAATATATTCTCCCATGTTCATACAATTTCCTTAGGCAATGTAGTGGTTGCTTTCATAGAACAGCTGTATCAGGATTGAGGCATTGGTAATTTGCAACTTAACTTTGAAGATGTAGATGAGAAATTCCCTGTATAGCATCCAAATCTACAAAAGATTTACAGCATGAAACAAACAAGGTTGCAGGCTGAAGTGGAAATGAAGTTCTTTGCACCACACACGTCCTGAATAAAACTGCATATCTTAATTGTATTTTTGTTGCCTTTGTCTTTGAAAAAGGTACTCTGGGCTTAATCCTGCTGCTTTAGAAATAAGGTCCAGCAATCTAAGGCATATGGAAAGACATCACAAGTCTACACAGAGTAGTATATTGAAAGATAATACCTTCATTTGCTTGGACAAATTCTCATTTTAATTATTTGAGACTCCAAACTTCCTTTTCCTTTAAATGGTATTCCTTAAAGTATGTCTTCTCAGCTCAAGTGTCAGATCAATTAATTTTTTCTCTTTTTGTTTGCTCTAGAGGAGACTTCTTTTATTACAAGAAAAGGGAAAAAATGTACATATGTGATAGTAACTTTAATTATTGAAGCTTTTTGACAACACCAATGAAAAAGCTTCCCACAAAGTCAGCTTTGAGCATAGCCAGTGACAATTCTGTGAAGGTCAGTGTTCAGATTAACATGCTCACTGTAAAAATATATGGCAGATTTTTGTACTAATAGAAGTAGTAACGTACAAATTGACTGAAAGATTGAAAAACTTATATCCAGAGTAAGTAGAAGCCTCTGATACTAAGTGACTAAACAAGCTTCTTTGCAAAACATTAACTTAAAATTTATGTCCTTGCCTGTTTCACCTGATCTAAGGTGACATTGATTCCAAGAAACATATATTTTTAAAAGTTCCTTCTAAGGTAGTTGCCTGGCAGAACTGGGATTGATGAAACTAGATGCCTGGTATCTTCCCAATATTAAAGACATTACACACTGGTATTCTGATTCCTCTCGCTTCTTTGGGTGTAAATCAGGGATCCTTCATGGAAATAAGCAAGTATTAGGCCCAAGATCTTTCAGGGTGTGATGAAATGGATTTTTGGCTGTCAGACTATTATGAAAACTGATTTCTGGAAAATAAATCAGATCTCTTTAATGACAATTAAGCCCTCATACACCAGGCAGCAGATGGGGAATTGTGCAGTGCTTTGCACCAAAGAAAAACTGTGTTTTAATAGTATCACCATCATGTACACATTCCAGGATGATGAGGAGGATGAGTAAAGTTAAGCATGTAACTTTATTAGGACAGATGACAATACATTGAAAGGAATAGAAGTTTTGGAGAAGACATTAAACGTTCTAAGAGAATAAACTTACTTCCCTTCCAGAACCCCACAAAACAACATATGCATGTGAAAGCCCTGAAAAAGGAGTAATAGCTGATAAAAAAAGAGAAGTCAGCTGATGTTCTTTGAAAAAGAGGATCTGGAAACCAGATACTGAAATACAGAGAGGACCTTTTAGATGAATCTTCCTCCTTCCCCCTTTTGTCTTCTGTCTTTCAATAAGGTATTTCAAAAGACCACTATCCTGGAGAAGACATGGTCACACAAATATTTCCCTTCAACATGAAAGTGCAAACTTTATGCTACACTAAATAATCAAAATCCCTCTGTTATTCATCTAAAATCAGAACAAGACGAAACAACAGGAACCTAGATATTTTTTAACAAACAATTCAACAGAAAAACCCAGATGTCCTACATATTGGTCACTAGTCATGCATCTAGTTGATTGACAACATGCAACAAAGCACTATGGAATGAAGCTTGATGTGTTTTGCACATCTCTAGGTTACTCAGAGCAGTTAAGTCTTATGTGGCCAAAAGGCATAACATAAGGAACAAGTAGCATTGAAAGAAGGAAAAAAACCTAAAATTTGTCCTTAAGCAATAATGCTTGGATTTGGGGTTCTCTCCAGCACAATTTAGCCTATATGGCATCTGGCTGGTGGACCAGATGCTGTAGGAATTTGGAAGTATTTGGAAGTGTCCAGTTAATGGCAGCAAATGGCTCTTAAGGGAAGTACAGGAGACAGAGACCTGTGAGAAAGACCACACTTTCACCAAGATTCACCACAGAGTGTGATGGGCTGTTGGGACCTAAGCCATTGCTCAAAGTGGATGGAGATAGCACTTTTTCTCTGTAGGACTCAAGGGAAAAAGAAGTAACTTCTCTAAATATTTTCATTTATGTAAAGAAAAGCAGTTTGGCATTCACCATGCATGCAACTAATGTGGTTGAATCAATCCTTCTATTAAGTGAAAGGCTTTAAGATGAAGGAGGGTAGATTTAGATTAAAGGAAGCATTTATTTACTGTGAGGGTGGTGAGGTGCTGACACAGGGTGCCCAGAGAAGCCTCATTCCTGGCAGTGTTCAAAGCCAGGTTGGATGGGACTTGGCGCAACCTGCTCTGGTGTGAGGTGTCACTGCCCATGGCAGGAGGACCTGGAACTGAATGAGCTTTAAGGTCCCTCCCAGCTCAAACAATTCTATGATATTCTACCTCCTACACTGGATGAACTCCTTTAAACAGGCCATCCACCACTCAAACCACCCTGCTGTTTCAAGAAATTCTATTTTTTCCTTCAGCTCTGTGCCAGCTTGGCAGACTAATTCTGGTGTGTGGCAAACCAAAAGAGTCCAAAGTGACACTCAACATTTGGTTCCATGAGAAAAATTAAGGGAGACAGGCAGATTAAAATTAAGGAAGTGTATGGAGATTATAATCCAGATTATTCTTTCCAGATCATAATTCTCTTAAAAGCCTGTAGTGAATTTTGTATCTTCAGGAGATCTCAGGCTTGGTGAACTATCACTTTGTAATACTGCATCATTGTGCATGGACTTTCAAAACCTATGTGCGTACAAGCAGCAGTGTTATTGGAGTCTTTGTTCATATACTGTTATTTTAAATTCAGACATCAGTATTTACAGCAGATTAACAAAGAGATCCAACAACAGAGCTGAATGATCTAGAATAAGTGAGAAACATCAAAGGACAGACAATTTATAGAAGGATCAGAGAAACACAGAGCCCACTGTACTATAACCAACACAGTTAAACCAATGACATTTAGCAATCAGCAGCTTCTCAGTGACACTTTTTATTTTGCCTGCTAGATAGAGGACGCACACAAAGTCTCATTTCAGGTCTATCTTTCCTTCACTTTTGGATTTGCCGATTCATTTGACCAGTTTGTCATTGTGACACTAAGTAGCCCTATTGTGGAAATTCTCCATCAGAATGCAGTTTGTTTTGAACTGGAAAGTGAGATGCTACCACTATAAGAATTCATGGTGACCTATAAATGTTATGGATAACATTTTAATGGAAGGAATTTTTAAGTTCCCAAATGGCTGATGAGGGAACCAATGTCCCCTTTCCCCTTTCAGCTCCTTCAGCTGTAGTTTTCCTATTTCAGGGCTGTTCACATTCCATGTATGGAATATTTTCTGGAACATGCAAGACCCAGCTGAGGTCCCTTGGCAAAGCTGTTTGGAAGCCATAAGCACCTAACTATTAGCCCAGCTAATCTCTTGTGTATACACAGCTCTTCATTTTAACAAATATTCTGACGAATACTTCAGCTATAGGAGATGCATTTTCAACAGTCTGTTCCGAGAAACATTTATGCACACACATATATGTATATATTTATATAATAGAACAGCTCCAAAGATTAAATAGAGATAAACCTCATCATAGCCAGCAGTAGCTGTAGCACCACCAGCAACACAAGAGCAGGCCGTGTCTTTTCCTCATCTTAATCCATGAAAAGAGCAATGAGAAAGAATTAAGCACAAGGTCAATAAGAAACAAAGATAGCAGATGAAGAAATAACCCCGTTGGAGCTAGATAGACCCTTAAAACAATGGGCAGCCAAAGTCTGTCTGCTGGGGCAAAAGGGAGGATTGGGATAAAGGGAGGGAAGGAAGGAATCTCCTTCCACTTGTAATCTGAGCCTCTGTCTCCATGGGAATGAGCTGTTTAGCAGTTTGTCGGTACTAACAGCCCAGCTGCTTTTTTCTTCTGGCTTATACATTAACAATGGGGAGTTAAGGGTTTTGAAAAGTACCTAAATAATTTAGCTGAAAAAAATTAAATAGAATTAAAAGACATCACTTGGCACTTAAAATCATTCAGTAATTAAGTCATCACTCAGGCATTTTCAAAACTCCCTTCTTAAAAAAAATTAATCTTCAGAGCAAGTTTTAGAATCTTAATTTTTCTTGAATAAATCTTGTCCAAAATAGAGCTTTCAGAAATAAATGACTTTCCCATTATGTTTTAATCAACACCCATTTGAAATGAATATTTCACACCCTCACATTCTACATGCAACATGAATATCTCGGAGGAAAAAAAAAAGGCACAGAATGCTTTGAAATTATGAAACTTTGAATACACAGACCATATTTTAAAACAGTCTCTTAATTCCCTCTATGCTGACCTGTTTGTTACAGTGGTCAAGAGTTTTCACTCATAAGAGGCTTCACTTATACACACAGCCTGTGACGGGAAGTGGGAGAGGGAAGAAAAACAGTGGATAACCACAGGAGTATCAGCCCAGTTGCAGCTTAGGCAGACCAAAGCTGGGTGTGCTGAGGCATGTTGTGCAAGGCAACAGCAGAGGGAACCAATCAAAGCAGGTGTAACAATGTCAGAGAAAGAGTTTTATAAAGAGTTGGATTAAGAGGGGAGGATAAAGCTGGATTTTTTTCCAGTTTTTCATTAATCAAACTGCCTGCAGGAATGATGAAATAGATGCCCAATGATACCTATGATACCTTAC